ATAAGGTGTTTAAGATCAAATTGTATTGTAATATGTTAAGTTTTATTGAAATGTATGACTCTGTAAAAAAGATTATATGTATGGACACGTGAACTTTAAATGATCAAGTTGCTGATGAAGTCCCCAGTAAGGGACGAAACGTATAGTTCAAATAATTGTTCATAAGATTTATTAACCGTCTATAACTCCCTTTGAGACTTATATATTAATAACATATTTGTGGACAAGAATATTAATAATTAAAATAAATAATAATGTTTTAACAAGATACACAAAAGAATATCATCTTGATAAACGAGTTTCCATTTAATTGGAAATGGAAAGATTCTTACTCGATCTTTTGTTTGTTTTCGATGTTCTAAAAAAAATACAATGCAAGAGAGAAGGGTAATATTTATTGGGTTAATACTTCGGGAATAACAAAATATTATTACTTTTTATTGATAATTTTGCTCATTATAAATATTGACCTAATAATTATAATTAATTTCTTTCATTTATGTTCTTTTTTCCCAAAGATAAATAAAAATCTAGATAAATTAGCTTGTGACTAATTAGAAAAGGGGAAAATATTTTCGTTGTGCTTTCATTTCTTGGAAAAAAAAAAAAGAGAAAGAAGAAGAAGAAAAAAAAAAGAAAGAAAAGAAAGGATATTATAAGACAGGTAGGAAAAATAAAAATTGAAAAATCACTTTTATCCTTCCCCCCACCACCAAGATTGCAAATACATGGAAAGATGAATGCATACATACACGCACATACATATTATACATGATCTCAGTAGTGTCGTGATGTTAAAGTTGAAACAAAGGCTATAAAGCGTGCATAGTTTACATTTAAGCTTTTCCATTTGACATTAAAGGGTGGTAAGGGGTCTTCTGGCAAAGGATTTTAGGAGTGTAGGGGGATGCGAAAGCGACACAACGCACTCGATCTATCCTTCCGAGCATTCCATTTACCAAGTAGACACGCCAAGGGGGTTTGCAACGTGGTAGGAATCCTATGTATGTTTCTATATATATGTGGGTGTGTATATATATGTATCTATGAAGATATGTGTGAACGTATAAATGTATGTATGTACGTACGTACGAATGTACGATATATGCGAGTGAGTGAGAAAGAACAAGTTGTATGTATGAATATATGAATGTATGGGGTACGTGAGTGAGTGAGTAAGTGAGTGAATGAGTGAGTGAGTGAGTGAATGAGTGAGAGAGAACAAGCTTGCCTAACTCACGTCGCCGTGACGATTTCACAAGCGACGTAGCCGTCGGATAAACGCGCAGGAACTGTTTCCTTCGTTCTCTAAACATCGAATTTATTGCACGTCGCATCGCCCTAGGATACTTTAATCCTTCTTCCTTCTTCGACTCTCGTTTCCTTTCTTCTCAAGAGACGACTCGATGTTCTACGTCACGTTTCATGTAATCCGACAAATTTTATCTTTGATTATGAAGGTTTCTATTCTTCTTTTTTTTATTTTTTCATATATTATTATTATATTATGATCAACGGTGTTTATAATAAAATATCGGTAAATGATATTTTAAATCGAGTGATCAATATTAGATCAATAATAATTTTATCTAAATTTWTTTTTTTTTTTTTTTTAATAAATTGTAAGTATTTATAATAAAATATATTGGTAAGCGATTGAAATCAATGTGGTCCAAAAATTATATCAATTAATGTAAAAATTATTTAATAGATGTGATCAGTATTTATAAATAAATATTAATTACATTAATATATTATATTTAGTATATAATAAACTATTAGTTTCAATATCCTATGCATCAAAATATAATTAAACCAACACCTATTACATATATACTGACAATTTATTAATTAATTGAACAAAATACTTTGTTACAATTCATTTAAATACACGCTAATAAATTCAAATGATAATCAATTAACTTGTAATTAAAATTTAAATGTTTGATTCTTCGTTTTCTAATTCAACTTTTTTAGATAATTAAAACACCATACGTCTAATGAAATTAAAATTAGCTTCATTATAATACGTGACGTGAAAAATTACTATAGAAGAAAAAAAGGGTGCTCGAAGGACACGGTAAAGGATCCTTTTTTTTGCTATTGTGTGCGCGCGCGTGTGTGTGTGTTATTTCTGTAGCTTGAACTTCCGATAAAATTAATGTACATGCTGGTATTAACTCGCTCAGCAACGTAAATGGGTTAATCCATTAAATTCCGTGATCTCGGTAGTAGTACAACTTTTCGACGATGTATCGCGATACTTAGGTATAAACAAACGACTGGCGAGATAATAGATGGAAGTGCAAGATCGAAGCTAGAAAGTTAGAAGCTTCGTGGTATGCTTTCTCCTATCCTTCATAATCCAATACGTATGCAGATATTTTCATAACTATATGCACATATTAACCAACTACATACACATAGGTTCATTTAATTAACATTTGCGCGAAATCTCTATTAAAAAAAAAAAAAAAAGAAAAAAAATCTTTTTATTTCAGAACGATAATATAATAATTTTCAATATTAATAATTTTAATTGGCATACCTACCAATTGAATATTTCAATCCCTTTTTTTATCGGCAGAGAGCAAAATCTTCAACAACAAAAAATTACTCCCAGATCGGATTTGAATAAAGTATCGAATTCGATTGGATTTCAAGTATTGTTTGTGACGTTATTCATAAATTAAGAATCATCATGTACCACATTGTATTGAACCTGACGCAACTAATTGTCAGACGCAATTTGCGTAGACCACAAAATTGGATATAGTGCACATACGACTAATATGCAATGAATTTATTTTACAAAATTATTTCAACTTTTGTTACTTTTTCAATTAGGTATGTATATTAATAACGAAACAATGATTATCGATAAATAATAGCTTTTATTGCATTTAAAATTGACTATTTGTGTAAACCACAAAATTGAATACAACGCATACACGACTAATTTATATATATATATACAATGAATTTATTTAAAAAGAAAAAAATTATTTTAACTTTTGTTATCTTGGATTACATATGTATATTAATAGCGAAACAATGATTATCGATAAATAATATCATTTATTGCATTTAAAATCGATTATTTCCGTTTGTTAGTACAACTCAAACATAATGAATTTCAATAGTACGGAACAATGACTTATTGATTTTATTCCTTCCGATTATTGTTCACTAATGGCAAACGTTTCAATTCGTGTAAATGACAACTGACTATCATATATAATTCTTATCCCTTTCTATTATTTCTTGGTAATATGAAAAAGACAGAACGAGAGAGAGAGAGAGAGAGAGAGTAACGATACCTTCTCTTCAAGCACATAACATACAAATACACACGTGCATACATTCAATTTCATATATATTCGTACACATGTACGAGATCAACGCGCACACATCGTAACTGATGCAAGATAAGCCTGATTGACGGACATTTCTGAACGTCGAGCATCGTATTTCTGATCGCTTATTGCTCGCCTATCAAACGGACGTGATTGTCGTTTGAATCCTGTTCGAGTTGCCACGAATAATACGATTTACGGATGGTTAGCATCCAGATCGAAAAAAGAAAAAGGAAATGAAATAAAAAGTTAAAGAGAGAGTAACGTATGAATCAAATGTCTCTTTTATTCCTAATCCTCTTCGTTATTAACAATTTCTCTTTATTCTATAAAAATGTAAAGATTGTAATAGAACGAAAACAAAATGAAAAAAAACACACAATGTTTTAAAGAAGAATTAATTAATAATTAGAAAATTAGATAATTCGTTTGTCTATTTAATCAAAATTATCGTAGATAAATTTATTTATATCAATAATAGACAATCGTGCAGTTAACTCTTTGAATACTGAATACTTTTAACTGAAGTGTTTTCTACGAATGAAATATTATAGTTTATTATTAATGTGACCAGATATGCTAATATTAATAAATTATATTTAATAATAACAATTTTTGTTTATCACAATATTATTTTCATCTGACAAGATATAATTAAAATATT